CACAACAGTAGGATCTGGGGAACCGGAGTTACAAAATGACACCCAGGAAAAATGTGGTAGGATGCGGTCGCTAAAAGAAATCCCCCGACATTGAGGCTGAGTTGAAGCAAGTTGTTGCAAGGATGTTTTTCGATGATGGTTTCGTAAGTCGGACGTGGCAGATGGAGTGCTGGTTGCAGGATCAACGAAAGGGGAGATATAACAATTAAGAGTCAAGGGTATGAGTGTGTCAATACCAACACTTTTCTGGGAGTTTTCCCCTTGTGGCCGCGCCCATGGCTACATTCACAGAATTAGTCTACAAGAAAAATGTGCAGGAAACCTCCATGATTGGGGGATGTTGAAATCAAGAAACGGTGGTTTCCTGTAAATTTGGGCTGCTTGAAGCTCCATATTTGGCAATGCGAAACACCAACTGCTCCCACAAGCAGTGATTGTTGCTTAGTTAGTAGTTGTACTGTATCCCATGAAATAGTCCCATAAAGATAGTACAAGTAGGTTTCCCCATGAAATTCCCATTCAGTCCCATTCAACCACCATTTACCAATAGTTATCCATATATTTTGATGGTGAAATCTGTCAAATCCTCATAAAGTGGCTGGGCCTATTCCATTAAATCCCGTTAAATTCAATTAAATCAAATCCCATTAAATAATTTTAAATCTTAAATCCATTTTTTGTGGATCATCAACGCACATCTGACGGCCCTCCGTTTTCGTTGTTTTCCCGCGGCCTGTTGTTCCACTTCCACAGGAAGTTCTCCTGGCGTCAGCTGATATTCATGGGGATGTTTCATAGGAATATCACCAAAATTATAGCTATATAGTAACCCCCAAAAGGATCGAAAAGTGAGTTATCACTATTTCACTGTTTTAGTAGGATTTTACTCTTCTATCTTTTTGGGGGCCCACTATAACTCGTTGGATGTTTGTTACAGTGTGTATATATATATATTCTGGCTGAATTATACGAATTCAGCAACCTGAAAATAGCTGTTATCATACGGCCATTTGGATCCATTTGGGATCATTCCCCGAATCCTCAGCATCATTCCGACGGAAAACAGTGAGGTCAGTTTCATTCCAGATAAATATACAAAGTCGTGAGTGAATTGGCCAAGGAGGGGAGGTGAGTTCCTGATAGTTCCTGTATACTCTGGCTCTATGGGCGGCTTCAGCTAAGGCCAATTCTGGCCAGTGCGCCGGTGGCGGTCCTCTTCGGAATGTGGATGAAATAGTACGGAGGGAGTGAGAAGGGTTGAACATTATGATTCATGATGGATTCTGAAGAATAAGGTGCCTGAGGATGTGGCCAAGATACTTGATACGAGCGTCTGATATTCTCATAGAAGAAATGCATGTGGGGAGGACTGGATACGCAAGATAAAGGATGAAGTCATTGGAGCAAGGAGAATCCGTAGGAGAGAGAGCTCAATGGTAGTAGGGACTTTTAATTTGAAAAAATTGGCGAAGGGCCTTACAATGTAGGCTGTCAATTTGAGTAACTTGTGCTGGTGAGTAAGTTTGAGATTCCGAACCGTGAAGGAGGATGGATTGGACGATTTGGGAATGAACCCGAAGCTTGAATCTCTGTGAGATAAGTGGATGTCGGAAGAATGGATCGAGGGTTTTAAAGGCGGAAGAGGCTTGAGAACATCGATAGTTGACATCAGGGACTGACGAGTAGGCGGGAATAATAAATGAGCCCAGATACTTGGCACTGGAAAGTGGAGTGAGCGGAATGTCCAGTGAAGTTGGATCAGGAGCAGTAAAGAAAAAAGGAGCACAGAATGGGCAGTTGCAGTGAGAGTCAGAGTCAGCGGTAAGAGAAAGTGAAACTGGGAGAGAAGCGTGGATAGTGAGGAGCTGACACTTGGAACCATTGAGGAGGAGGCTGATTCAGTGGGTGCTTCTCCACCCAATTCCCCCATGTCATGTGATCTCCAAACATCCAAACAAGGGAACATCCAGCAATGGCTCAAAAGTCTGGCAACAATTGACCGATCCACGAATGGTTGGTCCAGATCTATCCAAACAAATCCAAAAATGTGGTGCGTCAAAAATCTTCAGCCAGATTTCCCAAGCATTTCCACCATTGCCCAAACAATCTCAGAGGTAATATTCGGCTACTGCGGCGTGCCTTTTGTTGCAGAACCTGATGAAGTTTCTCCTTGTTCAGAAAACTGAGGCCCAAGGTAACCTCGGAATCAGAGGTGATCAGAATCATTTCGCCTCGCCATTAGAAGAACAACATCTAGAGAAAACATCAAGATGCTACGCAGCAAGGATGCTGGCAAGTGCAGACTCAAGGGGCCGATGATTTTTCACTCAAGTTGAAGCTCAGGAGGCAACAAATATTCGTAAACCCTCCCGGTCACGGGCTCTCCGAGCGGCCCTCCAACTCCTACTCTTTGCAAAGTGCTCACATACAACGATCTGTCATGAACCAACAGTGCCACAGGTTCACATCCATCTGGAAACTGCACGACTTTTGTGAAAGTTGGGCTGCTCGGGTGGAAGGCGAACACACCCCCTGCTTCATCCCCTACAGCAACATAGATCGTTCCACCGTCAGTTACAAAGAGGTCACTCATGTAATGATAGCCTTCAAGATCGAGTTCGCCCACCACAACAGGTTCCAACGACACAGCTGGATTGATGCACAGAATGCGGCGGTTTCCCTCGAAGTTATCCGAAATATAGATCACCTCTTCCTTTGTTACACAGATCCCGCATGCTTCGAACTGCATGTCTTCTGGAAGATTCTCGGAGGCAATCACTGTCTCGAGCCTCGAGCCTACCACCTTCTGCACTTTCCGAGTCTCCTGACTCCCGCTCAGAACATACAGCATTCCGTTGGGCGAGCAAAACAGGATATCTGCATCAGTGTTGCCAACAACTACGTCTCCAGAACCGTTTTGAAAACGAAGAAGCCTTCGATTCTTGCAATCTGACACGAACATCTCCCCGCTGGGCAAGATGGATAGATTACATTCGCATCCCAAGTCATTGATTCCTGTCACAGCAGCGCCTTCACCTGCAACACGTCGTATGCAGGTTGAAGGGTCACCAGGCTTCCAGCCCAGGATGCGACCCTCTCGGTCTGCAGCAAATAGTTCACCTTGGTACCAGCACAAAGACAACGCGAGGAAAGGCAGTACCTCTCGGGCTGAAGCTTGAGTGCTGTCAATGCTGGCGCCTAAAGAGGGTGAAAAATGCTGGAAACGACGCCTCTTCGACCGAAAGGTACCTGGACTTTGGCTTCTCTTTCGGGAGGCCAAGGCAGTCTCAACGTCTCTGTGAAGCTCGTCACCACTCGGACCAGAGAGACTTGTACGGCCAAGGTGAAGCAAATTCTCAATGGAAAGTGATGGGAAATGTACATGTTGCAGCAGCATGCCCAAAAAGGTATGTCCCTCCTCGGATTTTTTGTTCCAAGCAAATATTGCGTTTACCACGTCTTCTTCCCGGGAGATACCCAGATCTTCCCTCCTCAAAATTCGAGCTAGCTGCCTAGCACTGAGTTTTCCAAAGTCTGGATGCTTGCTACATGTCTCAAAATCCTCTGCTACTTTATCTTCACATGCACTTCTTAAAGAATGAAAGCCATGCCCTTTTTGTAGAACTTGCAGGGCAACACTGTGGTCCAAGGAGGCTAGGATGCCTGCCTCAATCGCTCCTGCAAACTTTGGCAAGTCCCAGCGATCTGCAAGGCCTAGGAGCTCAAGACCAACCTCCGCTGGTACTTCAGGCTGCCCATCATAGATGTAGTCCAGCACTGCAGACAGTGCTGCTTCGGATGCATCGATTTCCACGACCTCTTTTTGTCGCACCCTCTCGGCCTCCTGAAACGACCCACCCAGCAGGATCTTGAAATAAACGCTGGCAGCCGATAGCACCGCCCTATGGGCGGGATGCTTTGTGCCATCACGGCTCTTCAGCACCACATCACAGAATTGGTGGTCGGTCCAGAATTGTCGCAACTGCTGCCCAATGCCAGCCCGATGCTGCGCCAGATCTGAGTGTTCGAGCTTGACAGCCATGGCGCAGCACACCAAGACGATTGATCGTCCTCTTGGTGGACAGGTAAAGGAATCTTGTGGAATCTTGTGGGGACCTCAAGAAACCTATACATAGTTATGTACATGTACTATACTTGCACATTGCTTGCACAGGAAAAAAACATCTAGTTACGGTCATAAAAATTATTATTCGAATAACATCGTGTATGCAATATAATCGCAGTGTCTTGAGCACCTACATGCAGCGTGGAAAAAATCTGAAAAATCACCGCAGCTCTTCATTCACTCTTCATAGTTTTGCAGGCTCCATTTCCCCTTAGTCTTCACCTCTCATCCTGGAGCCAAGGCACACCCTCGTCCTCCAGCTGCAATTCGTCCTCGAAGGCTTTCCGCGCTTTCTTATCCGCCTCCTAGACACAACGGCGACGGTGAAAAGCTGCAACGGGTGGGGGTGCTGGGGTCCTGCGGGTTATGGGGTAACCAAGGGATTTGAAGCCACGTAAGTTGGAATATGACGCATATAACCATGGTTGTACAATGACTCGTTAGTGGAACTGCACCAAGTAGGAGTCGATGCCCTATGGAGACTGGATGAATAAAGTAAGTGTGATTAAGTGTGATTCATGGATCTTCATCCCGCTAAAAATGGTACAGGCATTGATCCAGCCATAGCAGACTACTTGGTCTGCACATGCACAGTTCAAAGCTGGGTCAATCTGTCTGTTACATGGTTCTACAAGTTAAAAAGGTGCATGAACAATTGTGGGTTCTGGACGGGAAGACATTACATCCGGCCTACTTCGCAAGTTCTTGGGCCTGGTAGCCTTCTGGAAAGGTCTCCTGAAGATTCTTTCAAACTCAGCGCCTCTTTTTGGACTTCTTTGGTCCGAGTCTCGTTGTGAACTGCTTGGATGATCATCGCAACTCAAAACTCATCGGCAACCATGGTGATAAGTTGTTGAGATGATGGATTTTTTGGGTCATGAAACAACTCCAGCCCCTAACAGAGAACCATGGGATGATCATCCCGCCATCAGCAGCCAAACATCACGGCAAGGCCCTCAATCATGTCTTGACCTCGCGGGGAAATCCGCCCATATTTTTTCAGTAACGTTAGGATCCACCAATGGGAAATCACCCAGGACATCCCAATTCTGATGATCCTGATGTTCCCTGTTTGGAAATGAGTGGTATAAACCGACCAAACGTGGCTGGTGCATTCTTGCTTTACTAATTACTAACACTGGCAGGATGGAGTAATGCCACCGATTCCAAGCAGCATTTGAGCTGGGCCCTATGTTTCTACATGGTTTCCCCAGTACATTCACATAGTAATGTATGTGCACATATATACACATATATATATACACATATAGATAGATATATTTGTATAATACTATATATATATTGGTGTGGAGCCCCAAATGGATTACTAGATACTACTCAGCTCCATCATTTTCAGAAACACCCCTTTCTGAACCATCATATCTTGTTCTTCTGTTCAAAATTTTGAAATAACCATCATTTACCCTCCGCTCATCAACCATGTTCTGCTGGAAAATCCGCAAATATAGTTCGATGATTTCCCAGCTATAAACCTATTTCCCAGCTAGCCATGCTTGATTACCAGTTGGTTAATATATGTACACGCATATATATATATATAACCCAGTGTATTCCCAGCTCGCCCCATTAAATCCCAACTAAGTATAATTAAGTCCCATTAAACCTACCATTTACCAATAGTTCTCGCTATATTGTGATGGTGAAATCAGTCAAATCCCCATCAATTGGCTGGTTATATACCATGAAATCCCATTAAATCAAATTAAATCCCACTATATATATATATATATTTGTAAGTGCCATATGATTGCCATATTTTCCCATCATATTCCGATCATATTAAACCTCCATCTTTGGGGATTTCGCCATCCCCCAACCCATCCCCCAGCCGCACCTGGATACCACGTGAGCTTCACCCGGTCGCCCGAAGCCCCCGGCGAAGGCACACGCTGCAGCTGGTCCTGGAGGATCAAGCTGCAGAGCCTTGGGGGAAAGAAGGAGATGTCTGTATGAGGGTCATAATGGTTATTTAATGCTTAATTAATGATGAATCTATATATTTATATACATTGAAGATTATTGAAGCACATGTCGTTATTTGATGGTTGTTTAGTGGTTATGTAGCTGTTATTTAATGGTTACTCATGATAAATAATGGTGAATACATATATATATATATACACATAATTATATATATATGTATACACCAGTGTAAACTAAGAAAAATGTGAAAAACACACCATTGGGAAATCATAGGTTTTTCACATCTATGTCAGTTTAACCCAGGGTATATCATAAATAAGTCCACAATTGAGATGTAATACTACCAATGGCATCAAAAATATGATTAGGGGTATTACTAATGGGAATAAAACTGAAATAATGGCCATAATATCCCCAAATTAACCTATCAGAATAGTGGTATTATCATAATTAGCTTGTCTTTATGGGGATTGACGGTTGATATCCCTTAGGACTGGTTTTATCCATGTAGTCATAATATTAACCCCTTCTCCTAACCATCACAAAATGATGGATTTTCCATCAAGAAATGAGGAACTGACCATGAAATATGGTAGTATAATAGTGATACAATGGGGATATAATGGTGATATAATGGAACATATTGCAAGGCGGTGCCCGAAAAAGGCAAATAAAAAATGACCACCTACCAGGAGCTCCCAACCGTCAAAGCCTGTAGAAAATGTGGTTTTAACCATCTAAAATGGTCTAATTTGGTTGAGGGAATCATTAAAATTGGGACATGTCGCCCATGTCTTAAACCGCCTCGATGATTATACACCCCCCATGACTGGGCCTTCGAATGAAGAGCGATCATATGCATTCCACCATGGTTTCGTTTAGTCTTTGCCACCGGGGGTTACTTACTTGTTCTTAGTTGGATTAAGAAACCTGGGTTGTTTAACTGGGAGGTACAATACCATCTAAGTAGCACATGATCACTTTCGGGGTAAACTCCCAGTATTTAATCAACCAGGATTTATTAATCCGAGGTTCATGCCAGGATTCATGGAAGGATCAAGATTTAGCAGCGAATAGTAGTGATGTGGTAAAAACCATATAAAACCATTGCCATCTAAGTGGGTTTTCCGGGTTGATGTGTAATCGGTTTCAAAAGATGCTTGACCTTTTCATCCAAACCTGTGATGATGAAATCACCATTTTAGATGAAGTTTTTTAGAGAAATTTAGAGCCATATTATGTGTATGGGTCGGTTTACCCTGGTACACTCTTGTTGACACCAAAATTACGCTTGTTGACACCAAAATTACGGTTGTGTTGCTGGATGTGCATCCCCGTTTTCCCATGCTCCCGAGCGTCCCGAGGATGGCATGGCCTATCCCCTTTTATGGGTGAATTGAATCATGATTTCCATGGTTTTCAGCGTACAAAACCCTAAACTTTCTTGTTAGAAGAACCCAATCATGAAATCATAATACAATTCCCACTTTCAAAACCTGACTATTTTCGAAACAAAGCAAAGCCTTCCAAAACCCCCTTATATCTACAGCATATCTATATGTTTATCAACTAACCTATGCATAATCCGTGCTCGAAAACAGTGCCCTCCAAGAAAAAAAACGAACACCGCGCGGCATGGCGTTGATCTCCTCCACGTCGTGACCGATCTCTCCTCGAAACCATGGCCCATTGGGATGACTTGAGTCATAGCTGACAAATTACCGGGTAACCAAACATACGGAGATATACATATAATATATATAATATAATATATATATAATATGTAATATATAATATATCTATATATATATGTGTAATTAAGATATAATTTGAAAGGTTTAGAGACATCTCACCATTCACACATAGTGGTGCTTCCCAGTTCTGCTTGTTGGTCTATATAAAACCCAGTTACCAGCTCGATATATCGACCGCAAATCCAATCGTTAATCTACTCGTAAGCCAACTTAGCTGGGACTATGGGACACACTTTGCAGGTATTTAACCATCAAAATTCTGCGGATTTAATGGGCCATAATGGGGATGGAATTGATGATCTATTGTTGGTTGATGATGATCGTCTTTCTTTGAGGATATAATAGGGATAGAAAGAAGTACAGTAATTTATAGTATAGTATACAGTGTATTTATATATATATAATCATATATTTATATATAAGCAACAAAATGAGATTGGGTGTGTCCAAAACTTGAGATTTACCACAATTTCCAGCCGTCTTATGAATTTGGAAAGCATCAGGAGGTGACCAAACATTTCAGACAAACCTGGGATATTGCCATGGCAGTATTTCGGATATTGTCGTATTATATTGGCTGTTGGCATTCTTAATCCCATGCTTAAACTACATGTTTATATGTTTGGATGTTTGGCACCCCCTCTGACCCTAAAATTGTAGGCGTTGGGGGTGGTGTACCACATATGCATGAGCTGAGCAAACAAAGCAGTAAAGATCCATTTCTACCCAGTCTCCGAGAATAGCAGCGCCATCTTCGGGTGAGCTGCATTTGGCCTCCCAGCTACCCCGGCGTTTCAAATCATTCATCATGTGGTAAGCCCAACAATAAGCCATCCACTTCTTCAGGCTTGTTTATGTATGTGTATAGTGTGTGTGTGTATGTTTTTGTATAGGATCCACGTCTTGCAAGGCATTGCAGATTGCTTTTTAAAGTTGTGTTTACCTCATCCACTGGGTTGTGTCCTTCTAAAAGTGGCTGTTAAAAAAAAAGGTACCGCCCAGCTAACCATTTACCGATTTACAGATCATCCAAGATCTGGCTGAATATTTCTAGGAACCAGCTGCTCTTTGGAGCAGTGCGCTATGTCATACCCATTTGTCGTGGAAAAAAGATCGGGGTATCTTGGGATAACCACATCATTGACTCTAAGTCCAGCTATCATTGATTTCAATATGAATACATCAATGGTAAGTGGAATATAGCTATATCATGTTACATCTAATCTATGTGTATATAATTATATATATATATAAATATGTATTACATTAGCTATTGGAAATATATCCATATCATATCTCAAGATATCGTGTCAAGATATCCTCATATAGATACGTTTGGTGGGTAAACTGGGCAAAATCAGAGGTAAAATCATCACTTTACCGCAGAAGTGACTATCATAGACCTATGGGTTGGAGCAACTGGCACCCTTACAATCCCAGCGTTAATTGTGCTGAGGTCCTTGGAGGTCGTTTCCCCTGGAAAATCTGCAAATTGTTGGATGTCTCTCTAAATTCTTGTTGGATCACTATGTCTATGTTATCCCCATATAAGAACTTTTGGAATTGAATCCCCATGTTGAATGCTGAAATCCAATGCAATGCCACTTTTTGTGCCAAGATCCTGGAATGACTGGTTCCCACTTCTGCCATCCCCTGCCTTCCGCACATCCAAGGCCCGCTTCATGCGTTGCATCGCAGCGGCCGTTTGGCGCTGCGCGCGTTTTTCCCAGCGCTGCAGACGGCGGTGGTACACCCCTGCCGCGATGATGTCCATATCCTGCGAGGTCTTGGGCGACGGGATCTGCAGGTGTTCCCCGAATGGTGAGTTCATCTGTTGCTTAAATGGTAACCCAACAAAAGGAAACAAACGGACGGTGGTTGTGGTAATGGTCGTTGTTGTGATGGTGGAGGCGACATCCTTCTTTGTTTTTGTTAAATCCATGAAAATCCCCAATTAAACCCTACTATATAACCCAAACCCCTACTATTTAAACCCCATCATTTTTTCCATATATAGTTTAATTAGTTTCCATTTTTTTTTCCATATCTCATGGCCATTTTTCCACGGATGTTTCCCAGCCCCTTGGCTCCATGGCCGCATCTTCGCTGGCCGCCGCAATGGCCAGCTCTCGGCGCTTCGCCTCCACGGCACCACGGATGGCGTGCAGCGCGCTCTGCGAGGCGCTGGCGTTGGTGGCGAAATGCCTCGCTTCGCTTCGGCGTTAGAACGGGAACGAATGGAACTGAATGGAACTGAATGGAACTGATGAATTTCATCATAATTAACAAAGTCATAGTAACATATAGTAACTATATATGAAATTATATGAATATACATGAATATACCAATTGCCAGCCGGACCAACATGCAGACCAAGGTGATCCCAAATAAATCCTCGACCGAGGCGTCGCATTTTGCTTCGAGCGATCAAATCTCCAAACAAAATCATGTGGCCAGTGTTCAATATTGAATCGTCCAATTCGTCCCAAAAAAAAATCGAATATGTTCGCACAAACATATTATACATCTTCATGTGTCCAGGTTGACTTAGTTGATTTACCTTCCTATCTTTCCTATAGAGGTCACCATCACTAGCCCCAAACGTCGAAGACATCTCCAAGTGACGCAGGATCTCCCACCACAGACATGGAGATCCTTGGAGTGAGCCGTGGTGAAAAACCTCTGGTTCATGGCTCCCGGATACCCTACAAGAACTGGTTGGTGGTTGACTGGTTGACCTACCCCATTGAAAAATATGAAAGTCAGTTGAGATTATGATTCCCAATATATGGAAAAATGAAAAATGTTCCAAACCACCAACCAGAGAAACAAGTTGAGCTTAGCTGCTTCGGATAGTTTTCCATTTACGACACATTTAAATCTTTCACCCACCAAGGTCGAAGCAGTCTTGCGATTTAATGTTTTCGCAAAATTTGGAACCTATCATGATTTATACATGCAACAATGGTTTGAATCATGAAAGAAAAACTGTCTGTATATGTCTGTATCATCCTGAAACGGCTGGTTACACACATTTCCACTGTGGGATTCACCAAATGCCATAGGCCTACCGTTTGGGGACGGTTTGAATCCCACCCATAAAAATGGTAAGTTGTTGGAGATGGCGTATGGCTCTGGGGTTTACCACATTCCAATTATCTATAGTTCATGCATTGTTGTTGGCTATACCTACATCACTAAGCCTTATGAACCGTTATTGACTATGTATATTTATATACGATTATAGATATGTCATGATATATCGTCATTCTCGTTCTTATCCATTACTAATCACTAAAAGCAAACATATCATGTCCTGTATCAACATATATCAATAAGGGACTCTGGGCATCGCCCTGGAACGGTGGGCAGCTGATCTACTTTCATGGTGACCCACATCTTTTCTGGATGAATTATGATGAATTTGACCGTGACCTCAGTGACCTCATTGTTTTCCTTTGCTGGAATGATGGGAATGGAATTCGGGGAATCATCCCCAGCTGGCCTTATGATAACAGCCTTTTCTGGGTTATTGAGTCGTTATAAGTCAGCCAGATCAGCCAGATATGTTTGTATGTTTACTTGAGGCTAACCAAAACAACCCCTGGGATGTTGCATAAACAAAAGATGGAGAGTTCCTTTAGGTTTCAAACGGGACTCCTGAACACGCCGAAAGAGCACTGCCATGTGATGCCACTGGATTCTTTTCGGGCACAAAAAAAGTTTCAGCCACAACCAAACAGTGTTTTTCCCCAGCTATACCTTCCATCAAACAAGCATAGAAATGACAAGTGCCTTCTTTACAAAGAAAATGTATAGCAACCCCAAATTGGATATATCAAAGTTGGGCACCCTGAAATGTTTGAGGTAAGCCTTATTTGTGACATCTTGAAAAACTCTCCGATCTGTTTGGCGGGGCCTGAATCAAATGTCTCGCGGGGTGTGATTTTCCTTTTTTTTTGAAAGGGTTGTCATTCCACAAAAATGAAGTGCAACAAGGTGCTTCAGAAGTTTTGCACAGTGGGCCTGCAGGGTAGGCAAAAGCCAAACTGGAGGTGCTAGACTTTAAACGAAGACAATACTAAAATACATGACAATACATGACAATACATACATACCGAGTCTGGGTCTGTTCGGAATGTTCAGAGGGGAAAATAATCCACATCTTTGCAACATGTGGATCAAGTTGGATGAACTATCAATGGTTCCAAAGGTCCTCATCCCGATTGGTCGGGCCGCCGGGCCCCTCAAAGGTACGTTGGCCAAGTTTCTTGCAGGTCAACCGATTGCAGGCGCAGCTCATGCAAACTTGAAAACCATTACATACTTGTGGTTCACCCATGTTCACCCCAGAAATCATATGTGGCTTCTAACCCCATTTTATGTTTGAAAAAATCGGGGTATGAAGGGGAAACGTCCAGTTATACATGTTATAACTGGGGTGAACTGAAGCAATCAGCATTCCGTAGGGATGAAACCTTGTAAAGAGGAACGCTGAAACCACCTTTTGCACATCTGGGTGTGTCTTTTAAAAATTAGGCCATACCACAAACGATTGCAAAATTATCAATAGGAAAATTACTGGAAAATGATAGTTTTAGACTTTAAACCTCAGTAGATCTTTCTGTCTGTTTCGTAAAAATCACCCAGAAACATATGTTCTCCACTCGAAAACATTCGAAAACCACATGGTGCTTTCAATACTTTCACCTGGCCACACATCCCGACGGCTTCCCGGCTTCCCGGCCTCATAGACACACCAAAGCCTCGAGTGGATCGGCACATTGGAGTTCGCAACCATCAGCATCTCCTCATCGGATTGGGCGCAATGGCAATGGCACAGAAAAGATCAAGACAGTAGGACCCAGTAGGAACAGTATATAGAACCATGTAAAACCTATACAAGAAACATCAAGAAACCATCTTTCCATATATATATATCATATATATGTGTCCTATCCATTCAACCAATTCTAGGAACCGAGTTTTTGGTGTCAAACAGATCCAGAGGTCAATCAACCTTGAAAGTGGTATCCAACAATTTTCGTCGGGATTCACTAGTCGAATTGTTGATGGGATGTGTTCCTGTTCTACTTGGTTGGGTGCACTAGAATTCTATATGATCCACATATAGGAAAGGAACTCATCAATTGCCTCCAGAAATTGAGTGAGAATCCACCTGGAAATCCAGGGGGGTCTCAGGGGTAAAATGAGTGCGGCATTGGAACTGATACAACCCGAGTTGTCAGAGATCACTCCGCTGATTTGGTGGGAGAGACATCGTCTGTGTGGGCCCCAAAGGGCCCCCCCCCCGTGTTTCCTATGGCAATCTTAGATACACTGTTGATACACTCCAAGAATAAACTCAAAAGCTGGATAGTATATTTCTATGCTAAAACGAACCCCCCATCCTACAACCATTCGGCAAGATTTACTCAGTTCAAAGCTCTAGTTCTGAGTGCCCCCACATGCCTTCCCCAACCCAGGGCTCCCTGGGCCGCGTCGTCAACACTCGAAAGAATGGAGACTCTCGAGGTGTTTGAATCAAGTGGCTCCTTAGCCCGCTACCCTCACTGGATGTGCATCTCATTTACTGCCTTGTGCTACCTGGTTCGTTCTCAGACATAGCAAGTCCCCTGACCGCCTTTCATTCGTTGTTTGGTTTGAGGGTTCATGGCAAAACATGTGTTCATTGTGGCAAGCAATTTTCAAGCTGCTCTGGATTCGGATGGACTCTGTTGAAATCTGGCACTCGAACATTGGGGGTATTGGAAAATTAGCTAAAGCAAACCAAACGAAGTTCCTCAAGGTGATTGATCTGGCCGTGAAATCCAGTGTAGTGGGGCCCCATTCTGACACCCTACAACTAGGATCCACGTCCAGGGCGCATGAGTTCTGGCAGATTCTGCGGGTTGGCCATCGAGCAAATGTAGGCTCCCACGCACTGCAGTGGCCAGCTCCTATCCACCGTGTGGCATAGTTCGAAGACACCTACCGGCGTCGGAGAAGAAACGTGCAATCATACGCACAATATTCACAACGTGTATAATAGGTTTAAATATATGTTTATGCATGAGCGAAAACATCCTGCCGACTTTGCGTTTAGCGTTTTCTGTGATCAAAATAGATCATGACATTTAGACAACATTAGATATATATATATATATACTTATATATACATACTTATATATATAGATATACATATATATATATACTTAGATATATGTATATATACTTAGATATATGTATATTATATATATACTCCCAATTGATGACTCATCAAAAAAACAAAATCAGCGTTTGTGGGGCCACCTTCCGACCAAGCGTGCGAGATGAAGAGGTCACAACGGAGACCGTACGCATTTTGATGCAAGGCGTAGCCTGGGAGAAAACGGACATAGGATGATCATTCAACTACCCTCTAGCAAACTAACAGTATGGAAAATCACTATCTTTAATACCTAAATCAACTATAAATGGGCCATGTTCAATAGCTATGTTTAATTACCAGAGAGTAAACACTGATTGGTGCTTTCAACCCCTCTGAAAAATATGTGGGATGATTATTTCCAATTAGTTGGGAAAAATAACAAATGTTCCAAACCACCAACCAGAACAATTTCATGGGCTAATTTGATTGTTTTCAGCTTGCCATGTTTGATTACACTAGAGTATAGATGATGTGTCCAATATTTAAGTCACTGGATTGGTTTAAGGGAAATTTTACGGGAAAGCTCCATATAAATAATAAATATGGGAAAAACTATGGAAAATCGGTGAAGATTTTCCCAACAAAACCAATCCTTTGAATCATGGGATAATCCTTCTTCCCAGTTATAACCACACTTTGCCCCTATTTTATCCTACCGAAATGGGGTGAGCTAACCTCGTATTTCAGCTATCCTCGGTAGTTCACCACCAAGTAAGAAGTCATGGTCAACAAGATATGGGGGTCAACAAGGAATAAACATGTGGATGAATTTTGGAACATCCTGGAAATTCATGTTTAGTAGCGGGGTTAAGGCCTGCTCAACCTGTTAGAATGGTTTTTTGAAATTCCTAGGATTGAGGGGAGAATTTGATAGTATGATGTGTAATTATACATATATAATCATATATATATATACACACATTATATAATTACCATTAAGATAATCAGGTCATGCAAACATCCCAATGATATCCGTAGCTGGATATTTACGCACACATACTGTATATCAGGTTGGTAACTGGGTTGGTTCACCGTTGAAATTCTGCACTTAGCTATGAAAACACCCAGTTACTCATGGTTCACCCTGTTCAACTGGAAAGCAGATAAAGACCATCTAATGTACAGCGGCACAGCGGCACTTGTGCCCCCATTTACATGGCCCTGGTTCTGGAGTTGGACGCACAGACAGCTACGATTGGATGTGTGATTGTTGCAAGACGGTACAATATTGTGAAAGGAAAACTGGAGCTGCTATACTCCCGTTCTTCGGAGTTTTATTCCAATAACAAGCTGGAATACCATAGAATTGTGGATGAAATATGATGAAATACTGTCTTGAAAACCATCAGGGAACCAAAAAATGGCTTGAAAACTGAGTTTCCTCGTAAAATGACCATTTTAAGGGTGGTCCATGTTCCTTTTCCGGTGCGAAAAATTCACCCAGAAACTCAGGCATGGAATTCCATGGGCGGCGTCCTTTTGGAGCGTCGTAGGCTGGATGTACCCAGCATTCACCTAGTGACTTGGCCAGCCACAAATTGGGGGTTTCCATAAATGGGGGATCCCCAAGCTCGCTGGTTGGTATATTTCATGGAAAATCCCAATCTAATAGCTGGATGATTTGGTACCCCCATGATTTCTTGGAAACCTATCTATATATATATAATATAGCTCTCAAAGAAACGGGAGTTCACCGATGATCAGTGGATTTAGTGGATATGGATTCCTCTGAACATGGGGTATATATTGGTATACACTCACCTAAAACCGACTCATTTATCATCACGTTTCACCGTGCGTATGCCCCATTTTTAGACACACCCATGTTTCAATCACAAAATAATGACCACATTTGCGTAACTGACAGACACTCGCTGGTGGTCTGAAAACTCCCCAGATTTTTTCTGGAAAATTGTAGGGATCATCATCCCAAATCGGGATGGTAAAGAACATAATGGTGAGACATCACCGAAAGTTCCGATTTCTGACGGTCATCCTTCTTGATACTTTCGGTGCTTTTCTATGATGCTTTAGACATCTTTTGGTATGCCCTTCGGTGATCACCAACACGGTTGGCAATAGGAAATACCCAAACTAAATGGAGGCTTCGTTCGCTGGCCAACTCATCGAGCTAAATGGTGGGTTCTCCAGCAAGCCATGTCTGATTACCAGACAATATATATATATATTTATTTATTTACATGGCGGTTGATCTAAATTCATTTGTCTGCAAACGGCCATTCGTCGCGAATAAAAAATCGTTCGCAAATCTTTCGCGAACTCTGTGTTTATCTTTCGCGGAACCCATGTTGAGAAACAACTCCTCTTATGAAGATTCATTCATTGCCTGCCAAATCAAACCAAATTATCACGGATAACTTCTTCATAGCCTTGTAAAACACTAGCCTCACGGAATCTCCTTCTCAGGACAGGTTGTTGCTGCTTAGGCAATTTTTTGCAAGGCTTACCGGGCAACTCCCTTCAAAATACGCTTTGACTTTCGCCCACTCCTTCGCGGAACTTTCGCGAAAATACCCCTATCCGCAGACCCGAGCCATCAGCAGGGGGTGCATCAGAGGAAAAGCAAACATCAGGTGCCTTGGTGTTTGGCTCTCGCAGAGCCTCACTTTCGGAAGCTTGGCTACTGCATTTGGAGCTTGTTTCTCGAGACTTCGGAAAGCAACGTTAGACAGTACCAGCGGCAGGTGCAATCATGTGCTTCAGGACCATGGCATTTGGCTGTGGCGAAGCCTGACCTTCGGAAGCTTGGCTGCTACCTATGAACGGAAAGGTAGATATGTGGTACCATTCTCCTGCCGGACGCCCGGTCGGCAGGAGGTGGTAGCCCTTAACAAGCTGTAATGTATACAATGATAGGGATTCACAATATCCAACCTTCGCGAAACTTTCGCGTTTGAAAGTTTTCTTTTGCGAACTCGCAAAAAAAAAAACTTTCGCGATGGGTTCCCAGCATAACATGAACGGTCTTCGCAATTAAAACTCGTTACAAGGACCTTTAGATCAATGATCATATATATATATATACACATATATATATATACCCCACAAGTATTCCATGATATTCCCATTGTTTCTTGGTGAAATCCCCATTTTTGATGCTTAAATCACGACTTTTCTGCGTGACCATCCGTTGCACACCTGATGCATGGTGGGCCCAATGTCCACGTCTTGGAATTTCTCCTCATCCTCGGAATCCATGGGAAACTGCTGCTTTTTGTGGGGGGTTCTTAGAATGGGGGTACCCCAATAGCTGGATGATAAAAAAGGCTACCATATCTTTGGAGACAGCTCTAGGTTTTTAAAAAGCCTCCAATGGCTTCGAATAGGAATAGGACAAAAGGAAGAACTGGGAAAAGTCCTGACCACATCCACGATCCACGACGATTTCATGGAGGGAACCAAATGCTTTTTCGGCCGTTCCCCTATTTTTAAGGTAGAAAACACCAATGAGTCAGCTCTATCTCAATTGTTTTTGCTTGTTTTCCGTCAGTCTTGGTGAACTATTCTCCTTGGCGCGACATCACTAATCACCACCACCACATACTGAGATAGGTCCGTACCACTGGTGAATGTCGGATGTCATATAATCCGTAACATTCGGGTTGTCTGCCAATCTTACAAGGGTGATCATGAACCCAGTTATAGTCGGAAGCAGGCTACAACTCCCAGGATTAGATCAATGGAAAATTGGTTCAAGCCATGGTTTCCCTTCAAGAAACCCCATGACCCAATGACCCACCATAGTTTCAGCTTTGGTATACCCTTGATCCTACTTCGAGTTAGACTCAGTTGGGCCAGTTTCTGCCGAAAAAATCCCGGTTAGATTCACAAGGTGGTTCCCAGTTTTCTTCGGTGTATGTTCACTCCATCAACCATACTTATAATATCTTATAATCATAATATAATCATCATAAGTCCATATAAAATCCAACAGCCAACAGTCAACATAGATCCCAACAACCTGCTACGACCTTCCATGGCGCACCGAGCTTCGTAGTAGGGGATCCTTCGCTGCCGGCACTCCATCCTGGATCTGTTCGTCAGGTCGCCAGTCTCCATCATCTTATGGAGCTGCCTGAGATGGGAGGTTTCCACAAATGGGGGGTACCCCTTTATCGCTGGATGGTTTTCATGGAAAATCCCAATCTAATAGCTGGATGGTTTAAGGCTACCCCGATTTTAGGAAACCTTCATCCCATGACTGAGCTATCACGGACTGGTACTTGTGTTCTAAAAAAGCACCATTTTGCTTGTTGAATCACCATGTCTTGGTACACAAAAATGTTGGTAATGGGATGGAAATGTGGTACACTCAAAAATGAACAGGATAGATCACATAATGGGATGGTAATTTACCATATTTGAGCGTTCAGGTTTTCCACCCATATCCATATGTTTCCGTGACTGTCCTGCATTAATGGACCTCAATATGTAGGCTTGCTTAAACCCAATTGTAAATATATCTATATATACGCAGAAACAAACCCACTTTGCAGTAGGGATACGATAGTTCTTACTGTAGCTATTCACTAATGCCAACTTAGGATTCACAAACTCCCAGTTTATTCATGGGGAGTACCAATTTTTATGGAGATGTCTCATCAAATTGGGGAACCCAAATTAACTGTCAGGGTTTGTAAATCTGAAGGTTACATTCACCATTACCATCCAGAAATACGACCAATTTGGGAATGATATCATAGTTCTTAACTATTTACAAACTAGTTATCAACCATTACTAGCCACTTACTATATGACATGCTTATAATTGTTAATAGTAATGCATTTCTATATACTTATATATTGATCGACTAGAGTTTTCATGATAATCGTCAATTTTCTAAGTTATTCATCCATAGTTATCTTAATTTACCGAATCACTTCCTAAGACTTCTTAAGCACCACACTAATTGGGACACACGCATTGTTGCTAGGCACTTCCTAAAACTTCCGGAGCACCACACTGACTGTTCATTTACCTACTAACTTCTTAAGCACCTTTGACTATAATCTGGCTGAACATACGGCCAGCGAGCTGGGGATGATTTCCCCTACCCAATGTAATTATACCACTAAATCACCATTTCATATTGGTTTTCCTACTCACCTCCCATTAAAACGTATTAAAACAGCATTTATGATCCAGCCAGGTCCAGCCATGATCCACCACCGACCCCCGCCATCGTTGTCCATTAAAACCACCGACCGCCAAAGCGACGTGGCCAGCTCCAACAGCTGCAGGCGGCTCAGCCCCCAGTGCTCCGCCGGCAGCGAAGTGTGCGCCAGCTCCGCCCCAGCCGTGCCGCCGACCTGAGGCAATTTTGAACCATACTAAGTGGCTACGTGATCATAAAGAATCCCCAGGATTCGAGTAGTTCAATGTAGTTGATGGATATCCATGTACATATAATATATATATACATATATATATATATACACATAATCTCTCAAGAACAGAGTTCCGGCCCAGCCTTGTCTTGCATCTGCTTGGCGCGGCCAAAAATCTCCTTCAGGCACAAAGTGAATTGTCCCCCCAGAATCGGACCACAGCAATGGTTGGTGATTAGTGGACTCATCCTAGCCAAAAAAAATAAAGATCGTCAAGGATCATCATCACCATTCAAAGAGACATGAAAACAAGATCTCAAACCACCTTGTTTATCACTACCATTCCGATGACTATGATTAGTGTCGTGATCATGAGTATTACATTACCACATCGGTCGTTGTCGGTGAGGTCGCTGTGAGGACGCTACAAGTTGTCAAGATACATACATGTATTCAATGTACACCGCCATGTAATTACGTCTGTTTATAGTAGATAACTGGTTGGTGGTTTCAACCTCGGTGAAGAATAGATTAGAGCCATGTCGGTGGCAAAAAATAAGCAATGGCTGTTCAAGTGAACCACCCATCAAAGAAATATGTTTTAATATACATTATAGGGATTGATATGCGAAAGATATGGGGAACTGACAAAACCCTGCAAGTAGTATGTATACATCAAATAGCCGGGATTCGTAGATGTTCATCCAAAAAATATGGCGAACCATATATCATATATGTATTTAGTATAGAGATATTGCAATCCCCAAAACGATAAAAAAGTAAAACCCTACTAACAGTAGCAATATTGTCTTGCTGGCATCTTTTTTGGGGTTGCTGTAGATAGTACAGATTCATATATACCAGGACGTATACATACCAGGAAGTATACAGTATATCATGTATCATAGTATCATACATATATATTATATATATAATTATACACATTATAGATTATAGATATAGATAATTCATTACAGATTGATATACAAAAAACATCTCCAGAGAACCTCCAGAAGCCGGCCTTCGATTTTTTTCCAGTCCTTGATTGTCTCTGCAGACACTGCGGCAGGGCACGGCGGTGGCTCCGCGAAGACATCGCCCGTCACGCGGGAATTCTTCCAGCAGCACATGGCGAGATCGGCAGTTTTTGATCCGTGGGATCCCGCATCAAAATATGGAAAATCCACGTCCAAAATTGCATAATCTCCTTGAAATCCCATCAAACTCCCATTGAGATCCCATTGAAATCCCATTAACAAATTGGATAATCAACATTTATCAATATTTTGAAAGGATTGCAGAATAAAACTGGAACGCTGACCAATTTGCTGGGATGCTTCTTCATGGTTCGTGTACTGAAACTGGCCAATCGGGAGATACTTTTTGGCGCGCACTGGCCGCATTGGCCGCATTGGCACCTTTTTTGGCATCCATGCCTAAACTCTAAATCAACATCCGTAGCAGCCATGCGACAGAACCAGATTAATTACTCAAGAATGGAGGAACAGACACGGAACTAGATTGCAAGCCTTCGTAAGGCTATAGCAAATCGATCGGACAGGAAGAAATGACGCGTACACAAGGTATTCAAGGCATATGTGGTGCATGCTTTCTGAGACTGATTTATAGGGGTCCGCGAAAAGATAAACACTTTTTTCCAGGAGTTTATAGGTGATACTTCCCATGAATTGCCAGGCTTCCAACTTGTTCATCTTGGTTGCAACATGCGCTTTTTTCCGGTCCCAAGGACTGCCAGTGTTTTGCTCCCTCGCGTGGTTGCTGTCTCCATGTTTTGTGGATTCTTGGAGGTTTAATTCCCACTTGTGCTAGTGCTGCTACCAACAGTTAATATTCCACATCCATTTGTTTCTTATTCAAAGCTCCTTTGTTGTGGTTGGTCAAAAATTATTCGTATCCAGATGCCATATGTCCTCCGCTTTCGGAGGTTCAGCTCCAATGTTTTGCTGGTCAACGTCCAATGTTTGCTGCTTAAATTCCATAAACATTTGTTGGCTCGGCTAGTCCCCATTTTTCCCGACATGTTCCACACTTTTTGATGCTTTCCCAGGTCATATGATATTAACTACAATGGTATTAACAATTTTGACTATATATATATATATGATTAACTATTCAAAAGCCCCATTTTTCCCGCTGAGTCCCAAGTGATGTTTCAACGTGGCGGCTTCCTGCCTCGATGGATGGATCCACCGCCGAAAGCCGCAGAGTTACGGCTTCCCAGGCGTTACTGAAGCCAGCCACGGGCCTGGACGAAAGAGCGCTTGGAGCACCTCTAATATTGGTCACTGAGGCTGCAAAATCTGGGACATCAATTGGAAATTTGGGGAGATTCAACTACAAAATCTGGAAAACTGGGGCATGGTGGAAAATTGGGGGAAATTTAGCAGCTTTGAAGGCTTCGCTTGATTGCTTTTAAGCAGCAAGGAAGGGAAAACAGATTGAGAAAACCTCAATAAAACTACGGAAAACAGTTCCATCTTTGGTGGTTTGCGTTTTTGGATGATTTTGCAGCAGTCAAAATGATTGGAAAGTTTTGAAGCAATCAAAATATGTAATCAAATATTCATGGAGTGGAAAGCACTGGTGAAAGTTGGAAAAACAAAAAAAGATTGATTCTAATGTCCAAAACCCGCAAAAAAAATAACAATTCGGAGAAAACTTGAAGAAGCTTGTGAAATTCAAGGCCTTAGCAGAAAACATTGGTGTTTTTTTCGCCAGCTGTGGGAAATGGTTGAAGCAAAAATGTTGGGTAAATTGGAGTGTGTTGTGGAGATTTCACCAGCCAGTTCGTTGTGGATCTTCACCAAAAAGTTGGAAAGCCTGGTTTTAGGACCAGTCAGAACAGGGTAAAAAAAAGCAGCTCAAATGGTAGCAGATCAGCTGCAAGCTATGACAACCATGATGGCTATGACAGCTATGAACTCCTTTCTCTTGTTTTCCCTGTACAACTAAAGACCGTATATCCTGGTTTCCTTTCTCGAACAATTCCACCATGCCAGGAGGTCCACAAAATCTGTCCAGTTGGCGTGTAGACCCACAGTATGAAGGGTCGCCCAGTGACCCAGTGGTGTTTCTGACAGAACTCGTCTGGGATGGTTCAACCCATGCGGGATCATCTGGTTCTGAGTGTAAAATTCATCAACATCGCTTGTCTCATTCTGGACCCGATGACTCCCGATGTATTGTTACCGGGCTGACAGACAATTTTGCTCCATAATGCATGTATCTCTGGCTAAGGCCAACCAAATCGGTTTTCCCATTAAATACATGGGGAAAGAATCGAGCTTTCCAAGGCCCCGCATCGGATCTCTAGGTTCTGAGCACTGCCCTTCGCAGGGCAAAATAGCATTGCACAATCATGATAACCTCTCAACTTACTCTGTCCAAACCATCATTTCACGACAATATCAACCAAAACCCTCACAATCATTACTTTAAAGAAAAACACAATGCATCACTGAACAATTTGTAGAAGGTCTTTTTAAAAGAACACAAGCAATGGTGAGATGACAGTACTAAAAGGTTGAATGACAAGAATTGACAGTATAATTGTGGAAAGAAATGACGAATACTTCAAACAAGAGAGAAAGGACAGGCAAATTATACTGTGGGGAGAAAAGAGCTCGACTATCGAAAAAAAACGTATGCTGATGACAATATAGAACAGGTGATGGATAGTAAAAGAGATTACTGCAAAAGAAAAAGGTATGAAATTAAAGCAAACTGTAAAGAACAAATTGAACGTGAATGTGATGTTGATGTTGTTGTTCGTAGATAGCTGTCAATTCACAAGAAAAGACACAGCAAAAAATATGTATCCACAATTCCATACAATTCCCACCTATCTTAGCGAGTTATAACTGCCATTCTCATCTAAATCACATCACTGGAGATTTCCGTTTCAAAAAATGGCTAGCACCCAGTCGAAAAACCATGGCTTTGTCCCCCACCTGGAGGCCGCTGGCGTCGTGGCCTGCGTTTACGCAGCGATAGGATGGGATATACAATATATATATATATATGTATATGAGGTACATCGATATATCTATATATAAATTCTAATATATATATATACATAGAATGATATAGATATAGATATAGATATAGATATAGATATAGATATAGATATAGATATTAGATATTAGATATTAGATATAGATATAGATATATAGAGAAATAGATTTAGATTTAGATATAGAGATATAGATATTAGATATAGATATTAGATATAGATAGAGATGTAAATATTAGATATTAGATATATATATATATTAGATATTAGATATATATATATATTAGATATTAGATATTAGATATTGGATATTAGATATTAGATATTAGATATTAGATATTAGATATTAGATATTAGATATTAGATATTAGATAGATATAGATATAGATATATAATGATGTATACATAGTGTATGTATATGTATATATGTATACATACCCTCTGGTAATTTATCATAGCTGCGGAAAATTGCACACTTGTGCCCATTTAGTTCAATGATATTCCCGTTGATAGCGGAAGTTCTACATCACATGAGTTCCTATTATTGATTCATATATGCATATCATATGTGTGTATGTGTCATTATAGTTATTGTTGTTCATGTATATAATACACACAGATTTCATCATATGTCTATATTCCTGGCTGAATGATCATACTTCACTATATATATATAATGAGAAAATATTGTTGCTATTATTATACGGCCATTTGGGCATGATTTCCCATACCCTCTGGTAATCAAACATGGCGTGCTGGAAAGTCCTCTCTCTATTTGGTTCAAGGATTTTCCCATTTATACAAGCCTCAATTGGGGGATGTCCAATTAATCCCCAATAAGCCACTTTATCAACAGATAAATTCAATATTAATCCAGTATTACCCAAGAATCCCGAAATGACCTATATTAACCAATGAACAGAGGTACCCTCCGGTAATTTAACATAGCTATGGAAGCCATGGCCCATTTAGTTCGATGATTTTACCTATATTTACCCATCAAAAAATGATGGATTTTCCATAGCAAACCGTTAAATAACCAGAGTGTATCACCCCAAAATTTGTTGTCCATTAGAATCCCATTCAAATCCCATGAAACCTACATTTCTAATGGCTAAATCCCTCCATTTCTCCATTTCTAATGGCTAATCATCTATAAATTCCATGCATTCCATGGATTCCATCACGACAACCGTCCACCGAAAAAACCGACCTTGGCGGCCGCCACAGCCTGCACGTGGGCTGTGTGACCCTGCGCATTCCTGGGCGCGCCATGGGGATTTGAATGGGATTTGGCATGGCCAATCTTGGATACCCTGCAAAAAAAAAAATAGCTGGTGAACGAAAATAATCCCATTGATACCAAAAGACTAGTTAGGATTAGTTTCTATCCAAGATTGACCTAGCTTTTAATACTGGGAAATGCAAGAATCAAACATGGATAGGAAGAGCTCCATGAAGGATTTTCCAGCCCTGTTGGAGTACCGGTGTGTGTCCAACAAAAAGGATGCTATAAAACTTATTTAAAAAAAAAAAAAACATATTATGATATAGGAACCCAGTGGAGAAATGCTGCCATTGTGTTTGTGCGGACCTGTTGGCAGGAACTTTGGTCCGGTGCGTTGGCATTAGGTAACTAGGGCAAAGCGTTTGATTTTAAAAAAAACGATTCTATCCAACAACCATGCGGATACAACACATTTTGCTACTGAAGCACAAGTTCCCAAGCCAGCAATCAAAAATATAAAATCGCATTGGACGCCCCAAATCTGTTTCTCAAATGATCCAGCTCTGGGATCATTTGTGTTCACCCTCAAAAAGACCCAAATAACGGCAGATATGCAAAAAAAACGACATCTACGCATCTGGATTCGCTGGAGCTGACAAAAGGCTAATGGCCTCTGAAAACCTGTTGCACAGACCAAACTTGGCCTGCAGAAACCACAGTAGATCGTATCACGTTCACTACGCGTTCACTGGTTTCCATCCAGCTAAATTGTAATAATTAGATGTGTTACATTAACAAGTGTTATTGATGCAGTTACTACTTTAATTTCCATCTAGTCGTGTTGTTAATTGAATTTGACGTCCCGGTGAGGTGGTTTTAGCTCATATATAAAATATATGTGTATATGTATATATGCGCGTACGTATATATCTATGCGTGTATATATATATATATACATATATGTAGCAATCCCCAAAAAGATGGGGAAAACAACCAGTCCAAAAAATCGTTGGAACTTGAATCTGAACTTGGGTCCTTTTTCTCTCTACGCCTTTCCCAGGCCGCGATGTGCCAAGACTCCACCATGCGGCCTTGGGATGGGGATTGACACCTCTATGGGTCAACCCACTGATACCCTGGTGTTATATGGGCAGCTTGTGATCTATCCAACTCTGATTGCATATTTTTAAGGTAACCTCGCCAAGACCAACCAGTTCCGTTCCTTTACAGGAACTCACTAGGGGTATTTACGATATGTATTGTATACTGGATATAGGTAAATAGGAATTGATATTCTAAAATAATATTTTAAAAAATAAAAACATAGCACTACTGGCTGATGTTGTGCTGATGATGATCATGATCATGATGATGATGATGATGATGATGATGATGATGATGGTGGTGGTGGTGATGTTGGTCATTGATGAATGATGATTGATCATGATTGGTGGTCATGATCATGATCATGATCATGAATGATGTTGATGTTGGTGTTGCCGCTGGTGATGACGATGGCGATGGCGATGAAGATGCAGATGATGATAGCGACAAAAATGATGATCATCATCATCATCATGATGATGATGGTGATGGCGATGGTGATGGTGATGGCGATGGTGATGGTGATGGTGATGATGCTGATGATGATGATGATGATGCTGCTGCTGGTGGTGGTGCTGCTGCTGCTGCTGGTGGTGGTGGTGATACAAAAAGTAAGAAGTCAATTTCAACAGGGAATCCTGTGGACTCAGCGATTCAAAAGTGTGACCCATACCATTCAAATAAATATCTATCTGCTTCCCAAAACCTTCCTTCTCAAACGCCGCCAGTCTATATACTCTGATTTGATTTGGGGACAATTTGCGAGGCCTAGGGGGGAAAACACGTGTTAATGTCGGTCATATCCAAGAATAAAACCTTCCATTTCTGGAAATACCTAATCAGCTGATCCATACCCATTTACAAACTTTGAAGCTGTATCAGGATGCATGACTCATATGCCCACGTCTGGCGGTGAAATCTACATGTGTTGCTGAAGTTCCGTCCCCACTTTTTAATGCCGTCTACCAACCCATCTCAACCCTGTCCCCTTCGGCTGCTTGGACAACCCCAACTTCCATGGTCTTCTTGGCAGCGTGTTTTCTGAGCTCCTTGAGATGGGACCGTTTTTGGCACTGCCACGAAGGGTGAAGTTGCCAATGTCGTTTCCACTACCAGTGTGCAGTACTCCTTTCAAACAACTTGAGTATAATATATGTACATATATATATTTATATGTATCCTGTTTCAAAAGCACAGTATGTTTTTCAGGAAACAATATTCTCGCAAAATATGCAGCACAAGTTTCGATTGCAAGGTTTCTTTTCAAGATGCTGCATTCCTTGAACAAACAGGACTTCTTTCAAATCTGAAGCAGCCTCAAAGAAATGTGGTTTTCTGTTGCAGACTTCATTTTGAAATTGAAGATACCTCATTTCTTTCAGCAAGTGTAGGGTCGGTAGCGTCTTGTTTCTTAGCTGTCCATGTCAGCCTCATTTTTGAAATGTTTATTGAAGGTACCAGCCTGACAAGGACAAATAAGGACAAAAACAGTAGACACTTGGGTGCGAGAGTAGCATATGCATATATATATATAAAGCTTCAAGGCAACCTTGCGGTGGTCCCTTCCGTTCATGCTATCTGGCGGTTTGGAAACCAATGCACGTAGACCAATGGTTTTCCCTCACAAAGCCATGGCTTCACAGTTCTCAGTCAGTCATATTGTCAGCGGCTCATATGGTACGTAGAAAGATTGCCTCAAATCTCAACAGCAACAGGTCCTATTTCTTCATTGCATGGCCAAACATTTAACCGTTCACCCACTCAAAGGTTTACTCAGATTTTTACCAGAGCTCTGTTTTGGTTGGTATTCCAAGTTGAAAATTCCTGTTTTCGGCGCTTCAAATTCTTTAACTATGCACTTAGTTGGACGAAAAAAACGCGTTTTGCCCGTTCTCCTCCTGCTTTGCCTTCTGTAAATGCTTCTGCAGCGTTTCTTCAATGCCGGATTTGTACCTGTTCCAAGGATGGTCATCCCAGTTGGTAACCAAAAAGCAGGATGTCATCATCGGGATATTATCAATGTGAATAAAACTGGGATGATATGAACACTATGGGGACTGGAGCAGGAACTGGATATCAGAGGTATTCAAGAAACCACGTTCATTGGGGTCAAACTTCATCTACAGCACTGATGGTATACAGTTATCCGGATCAATGGCATCCGCTCAGCATAGTTTTTGACACATCTTCATTTCATCCAAGCAAGGCACTGTGCAAACCCATCAAAAACATGGTCATCAACCACAATCGTGAACTAGAACAGACAATAACAAAAATCGAACAATACATCATGCTCATGAACCAAAAGCCACCAAAAGCCACCAAAAGCCACCAAAAGCCGATCAATACAATCTGTCGTAAACCAAACGAGAATCAAACCAAACCTGATGCTTCAGCCCCATCGTCTCCATAAAAACTTGCCATAAGTTCGGGTACGTCTCCCATTTCTGGACAAGACCATGTAGTAGCCATTGCTATAACACATTATAAACGATACAGTAAGTATAACTCAATAATTGTACACATGTGTTAATTCAATCAAACCCGGGCATGGAACAAACTTTAGAATTGATGGTCAATGCGGTTGCATGATGAAATCTGTGATCCCCTGGTCTCAACATCGTCGCCCGTGCGTATTTCTTGACCGATAAATCCTCTAGATAGTAATCAAGGTTTATTCAAGTTTTTTCATGACTGTATAGTCATGTAAGTGTCATGAACCTTTTCTACGCAGCAACTATGTACAACTATATGCAATTAATTACCAGTCATATTCACAAACATATCACTCAATGTCATATCAGCAACTATAAACAAGTATGTTGTGTAACTACATGGGAACGGCGCTGAGAGGCGCCTGGTTCTTTTAAGGGGGCTTGCGTGCGCTTCCCAATGTAAGTGCGCATGCAGCCTTGCACGCCTGTTGTTCACTTCTCAAAAACTACTTCAACCATGGAGCAGTTTGCTCATGGCAGTGAGTTTCTCTGAATATTGCCCACCCCACACCATGATCAACGTAATATCATCAGCGTAACATGAACATGAACGTTAACATCCCACCCCACCCCATCCCATGATCAACGTAACATCATCAGCGTAACATGAACATGAACTTTAAAATCCCACCCCACCCCACCCCATCATCAAACAAAAACAGAAAAACAAAAAAAAAATGGCGCCCTGCAGCGCCCATGGCAACTACATCACTAAACTTAGTTGCATAGTTTCATTAGATGTCCATCAAGATTGCTGACTCTGGTTGCCGAACGGTTTGCAAACTGGAAGATCGCCATGTTGAGGTACATCAATCATATATATATATATTATATTATATATATTATATTATATATTATATATTATATATTATATATTATATATTATATATTATATATTATATATTATATATTATATATATATATATTATATATATCTCATCTATAAATCCTCTATAAATCATATATCAATGGGCAATGTTCGCTATGTCAAGGGTAACTTCATCCAGTCTCTTCCAGGCACTCGGCCCACTCCCGAGACTCCCGAGACTCCCAACTCGCCACCAGGCTTCCAGCGCACCGGCGGCTCAAAGACCTGGGAGCTGGTGGTGCCCCCCATTTTTGGGGGGAACCTCCACCTCTGGAATTCATCTGGTAAATGAACAGTTTGACCCAGAAAATCAAGGAAAATCCCCCATGTTGAATGGAAACAAATCTTCCAACCCCTATCTGGCAGGGTCTATGTTAATTTACTGCAAACTGCAATTTATAGGAACCCCCAGGCTGATGGGACCGCCAGAAAACACGCTACTCCCTGGGAATGCAGGTCCCATCATTGGGGTATCAATTCCATGGAAGGCTGTGTGGGTATCCAGGGGTCCCCTGGAAAAATGGAAAAGTAAAATCCCACTAAAATAGTGATAGATTATGTTTCGATCGTTTTGGAGATTACTATTTTACTATGTGGTATAGTATATACGTGTATATGTAAAATGCATACAGTTGCAGGGTTCCTTCGTGATCCTTTTGGTGGTAAACACCACCATTTCAGCTGAAGAACACAATCCCAAGCAAAAAAGGAAGTTCGAGAGACTCCTGACACCCTCCAGAAATGTCTGTGTACCTTGTGGAAAATCTCCCAGCTGTTCGTTTTTTCATCTGCAATTTATAAATAAAATCACGTATGGAAAAAACAAAGGATGTCCCAGCCTTCCATATTTGGCGCTGTCCAAAAACAAGACCAAATTGTTTACCGTTATGTTCTTCATTGTTTTTTTGCACCTTTGAGGTGTTATCTCGTTTCCGACAAACCACGGTACCTTGAACCCCGGAATAGCTGGTAGTTGTGGGGGTTTTGGCCCTGTGAAAATGGGGTATAGCCCTAAATCCAATGCCCAATGGTCACCCTCCATTTAAATGGTCATTGTGCGTGATATCCTCCATTTTCAGACACACCCAAATATCATCAGATTGTTAGTTCTGTATCCCATCATATTCGCATAAAATGGTTGGTTTCCACATTGAATCTCCATTAAGTCCCTTTTTTTGGTTGGCCATAGAATCCCCACAAAACAAAAAAACACAAAAAGTCCCTGTAGAATCCCCACGAAGAATCCCCATGGTTTATGATGTTTCCCATTGAATCTCCATGAAGTCCCTGATTTGATGGTTGCGTAGCGCAGGCAGCGATGACTTTTTCAGCTCTGCGTGCTGTCAGGTCCTGTGTCCGGTGGAGTCGACACTGGTGATTTCAATGGGGATCGAAGGGATGTCATGGAGAAAAAAGGTGAATCAATGGGATTAAACCAACAATGAGGTTCAGTTGATTTGACCAACAATCGAGCAAAATTATATCGGAATTTAGGCAACAACAACAACAACACCAACACCAACAACAACAACAACAACAGCAACAACAACAACAACACCAACAACACCAACAACACCCACAACACCAACAACACCAACAACACCCACAACACCCACAACACCCACAACACCCACAACACCCACAACACCGACAACACCCACAACACCCACAACACCCACAACAACAACAACAACAACCACAACCACAACCACAACAACAACAACAGCAGCAACAACAACAACAACCACCACAACAACCAACCAACCAACAACAAACAACCACCAACAACAACAACAACAAAAACAACAACAACAACAACAACAACAACAACAACAACAACAACAACAACAACAACAACAACAACAACAACAACAACAACAACAACAAAAACACCACCACCACCACCACCACCAACAACAACAACAACCACAACCACAACCACAACCACAACCACAACCACAACCACAACCCAACAACACCGACAACACCGACAACACCAACAACACCAACAACACCAACAACACCAACAACACCAACACCAGGAGCACCAACACCAACACCAACGCCAGGAGCACCAACACCATCGCCATCACCACCACCAGCAGCTCCAGCAGCAGCAGCAGCAACGGTGATTCAACCAATGACAATGGGAATTTGAGCTGAATTCACGAAAATAACAGAGCATCTTCAATGACTGTGTTCATTGGGGCGCCGGTCAAGACCCTGGTTGCCGGGTTTGAACGTGCGTTGGCAAAATAGCTGGTAGGTATGGATTTTCATTCTCTGTGGCAAATGGTCCTATAGGTACTGACCCGTGCAAACTCGAAGACATTGGGTGTTGCGCATCCTACTAGCAGGTCACTGAAAATTTTGACCCCTAGCCTCCTTGAACAGTGTTCGTCGCAAAACCCACAGTTTGGTGATGTTCGCATTCATACATCCATGTTTTTCTTGGTATTTACGGTGTCAAATTTGCAAAATTGGTGTAGCTTCCTCGCCCGTCCAGAAACACAGCTGTTTTGGGAACTCATCATGGGAAGGGACCATGGATTCATGGTGTTCCTTCATCCCCCAAGTGCTGCCGGGAAGTCATGTGGATATTATATATATATGTTGTATATATATATATATGGTGTATATATATATAAAGGGTTCATATCGACTTCTATCCTACTACACCGCCAACCCTTCCAGAGTTTGTCAAAGGGTTGAGGTCGCTGTGGATGCTTCAGACCGGGGGGGTCTTTCCACAACCAAAAACTGGCCGTAGCTAGATTGCAATGAAGTTACGTTTTGCAAAACATTGCTGCATGTATCGGCAAACCACAATTTACATATATATATATATATATATCTACAAGTACGCAAGTATTATATGTATATGTACATATATATATATGCATACATATACATCATATACACATATGCATAGTGTACTTGCAATGTGTATCCATATGATACATATAATATACACCTCGTATAATTGTGTATATTCCAGGAATTAACCCTCAAAAAAGTGATGCAATTCTGTCATTTTGCAGGGTGAGTATTGTTGACCTGTACCAGTAGAGTAGATAATATTACTCTATGATCTATCTATATAATGTATTGTAATGTATTATCTATCCAGCTGTTATGCAATAGATATTATATAGTAATTGTGATGTCTTTCGTGATTTTGTGGCATCAAATGGCCCTTGTGGGTCTACCAAGCCTTTTGGAAAATCCGCGAGCCCCACAAAATCGGCCTGATTCAGTGACACAAACTTGCCATGGAGCCACCTGGTGCATGGGATTCTGGGGCCATCACTCGGAAGCTGGAGATGATCCCTTGTTCATCTACATTCATGGTGGCTAAACTCCACATCGAACGCTGAGTTTAGCGGA